GATTGAAGCCATACCCTGCCATACCCAGCTGTTTTTTTTTTTTTTTTAAATCTCATCCCCTTATCATTTTCTAGTAGTAGAAATTCATAGAACATTTTAGACTCATCCATTCACTGCAAAGATGAGAAGGGAGATGTGAAGCAGCGGCCCTTTCCTCAGAGGCCAGCCTGGGTCTCGGAGGGTATGGGTGACACAGATGTCGGAGAGCCAGGTGGGAGACACCAAAGCACATAGTACTGAGTGAAGACGGGGAGAGGGTGCTGGCATTGGAAAGTGCTGAAGCTGCTCTTCACCTAGTGTCCTAGACTCCGTTCAGGGCAAATGATGAGTCTCAGCTGGTCCTCTAGTCCCAGTCTCCAGCCACCTTCTATGTCTATTTTGCAGGCTGCACTCCCTATTCCATCTCTACCCTCTCCTTCCTCTCCTCTGCAGAAGCCCTTCAACCATTATGTCTTACATTATGTGTGCCGTCCAGTGGCTCAGAAGGAAAGCCCCAGTCATCTGGTTGCTTACCTCTATCTCCATCTCTTGGGGTGAAGACCCTGTCCTGTTGCTTTCAGTCACTTGAGTTCAATGCATGTTACCTACCTGAAAAGTGGCAGAGTGGAATAAAGCATGGCTGTCCTTGGAGAGCATATTGCAGCCAGTGGAACCAGCCTCGTATGGGGAGGAACCACATAGACTATTGCCCTGACTGTCCACACTTAGTTCTCCCTCTCTGGCTGACATTTTTTCACCCTTATCGTAACAATGTCCCATATTCTTTAAAAGTTGTATGTTAAGGCTGGAGTGTAACTCAATTGTAGGGTGGGTGCTTGCCTGAGGGTTTGATCTCTGGCACTGAAAAAAAGTGTTGTTTTCCTAAGAAGACAGTAAGCACAGTAGTATGAAGGTGTAGTAAGTACATTGCCTGTAAAATTTAGTGAGGGGCCAAGGAGTGGTTGCCTACAAAGTGATCCTGTAGTGCTCAATGAGGACAAATGTTCTTGCACTCTCAGAAGCTGATTTTGAAGGCTACTCAGAGTTGAGCAGTGTTCTGTAATGTGTAAAATTTAGAATTTGTAGAAAGTAGACTTACAAATAGTATTTAATCTCATCAATTTTAAGTTACTTTTTGTTACTGTTGGGGTTTTGTTCTGTTTTTTTGAACCAAGTGTTGAGTCCAGGGCCTTCATGCTGAACTACACCCCAGCCCTTGGAAAAAACTGTATTTTAAATTCTGACACAAGATCTTGCTAAGTCACTGTGTTGCCATGGCTGGTCTTGAACTTGTGATCCTCCTGTCCAGCCTTCTACAGTGCTGGTATTATAGGCATAAACCACCGTGTTTGATATAAAACACTAGCCATGTGCAATCACTTATACACAACACTTCTATATAATGGCAAATGTTATTATAGCATCAACAGAACGGGTCAGCAGAAAGCATGCTCAGACTTAAAACACTTACATGGCTCATTTGTGTCCCTAAGAGCCTGGCACAGGGACTCCTTGGATGTAGGAAGTATAGCACAAAAGTGCCTTGAACATTTTCTTCAAAGCAGAAAGAGGAGAAGTCTACAGAAAAGAGGAGAAACCCAATAATCAGTCCTTGTATCTCATATAAGTGCTTTTGTTAATCTGTGAGATGAAACTGAGGTTTGTCTAGGAGACACAATTACACATTTCAAACAAAAATGCTATTAAAGTGCTGGGGATGTAGCTCAGTGGCACCACACCTGCCTTGTAGGTGCAAGGTCCTGAGTTTGAGCCCCTGTATTGGCGGGGGACACGTATTGGTTTTGGCACTGCAGCATAGACTAATTTTCCTAGTGTAGTTTGTCTTACATACCTGGCATTTAGCAGTTACTTGGTAAATATTTGCCACATGAATGAATTAAATGCAAACCCCCACCCAAGGTTGGCAGCTCACCTAATATGAAAAAAAACACTTTGGCCTGAAGAAGGAAAAGGGGCTCAGAGATAGCAGAATGTCAGCACATGTCTCTGTCAGGGGCGAGTGGAGCACAGCCTCCAGAAAGCACCCAGGAAGAAGAGGATTGCTCAGGACTGAAAACCACAGTTGGGCTGTCCCTCTCCATTGACTGCTGACTTGGCCACTCTAAGTCTTCCCAGGAACCTCCTAATACTGTGTCCTGAATGGTTAGTGCAAGATCAGGCTACCCAGTTGGGGCAGAGAACAATTACAGATCTCAAAAGATCTTTTCAATCATTTTTGACCATGATCTACAATAAGAATACATTTTATAGGGCTGGGGATTTAGCTCAGTAGTTCTGCCACCTGCCTCACAAGCGCAAGGGCTGGAGTTTGATCCCCAGCACCAAACAACAACGACAACAACAACAAAACATTTTATTTTGTGAACCTGGAAAGACACCAACACAATAATTGCCCTTGCTACATGTGGCATGTTGCTACTCTATTCTATTCTTATTCATTCTATTCCATTAAAGAGAGAGTGACACATTCCACTGATTTCACAGTATAGTAACGGGTTAAGACCATACTAGGACCCCAAAGGGACAATGGGCTTCAGATTCTCCATCTCAGGGATCCTGCTGCAAAGGGAAGGATGACCCTCCCCACACCCACACCTGGGAACATGCTTTCATCCCAGAAAAGTATAAAATAAATGCCTGTTTTCTAGAATCTGAATAAGAAAGCTCAAAGGAGAGCTTCTATATTTACAATATTCTACAATGATCAGTAAGGTTCTCTGCTGTGGCCTTTCATAGCATAGAGGCTGCTACAGACTTCTGACTGCTCCAGAGAGGGCCTTCCGAGCAGCTCCAGCACATCCTGACTTAATGCCACCACTCAAAGAAATGGCAGCAGCATCAGGCTGCCCCTCCACCGGGAGAATTCCCATATCAATCTTCCCCAATAGTGCTCCTCATTCCTAAGGTTTCAATGAGTGTTCTGGGGGAGGGAGCTGGGGAATTGGTTCTGTGATAAAATAAGAAGGAAATCCTGAGTGAAACAACAACTCCTCAGAGCCCTTGACTCATTATGCTATGCTCTGACTTCGGAAGAGGACTAAAAGGATACCCAATGTGGTATTTTCCTGCCATGTTTGACCACAGAGCCCTATTGAAATATAGTCTCTGAAAATCTGCAGCACATGATTTAGGCACTGCTTCCCCAAGTGGCAGCTGTTTGTCGCTTCCCTATCTGTGAGCAGAGGCAGGCTAGAGCCACCTTCACACCTGCACATGTGGGGGACGGGCCAGGGAGTTGGATACTTTGCCTGTGTTTGGCTAATAAAATGAAAAAGCAGTAGAACTTTGTTGCACGTCAAGTAGTCCCTGGTTGTTTACGCATTCATCACTTGTATATTTAACTATTTAAAAGAAACATAGTACTCTGTGACATGAGGTAATTTAGAAACTCACTGAGAATGTCCAGTCTGTGCATGAGAAGTGGTATCATCGAGTCAATGGGCAACATAGACTAACTCTCCAGTTTCCAATCTTATTGTGACCTTACTTCTGTTTTTCACTGTACCTCTGAGGAAGTTGTATTTTATAGCATTTCACTTTTCTGTTATTTGCGATATTTTCTGATATTGTAGATCTGTTATCTGGTATTTGTGGACCTTCATAAAGATCTCAGAGCAAATTCTTCATAAATGTCAACAATATACTACTATGAGGTTTGAACTTTATCCCTCTGAAAACCAGAAAAAGTCTCTAAGTACAGTAGAGCAAGTTATGCCCTGACCAGCTCCAGAAGGCAGCATTCATACAGACTATGGCGTGAATGAGACCCTTTGGAATTGTGTGACACAGCAGTAGCTCTATGAAAACGTATTTAGGTTTTATATTGTAAAAGATGGCACAAAGTAACAGAGTTGGTCAAAATGTCCATTCTTTTTCATTCCATAGACTCCTGTGTTTTTCATTAATTGTGGTGTCTCAGTGTGGGTGTGCATAACAATCTTAAAGTCTAGATTCACATGCACGCCCCTGAGTTCCTGTTTTGGAAATCTAACACTTAGGTCCATCACTACTAAGACAGGAATAAGGACAATATTCAACCCTGCAGGCCGAGGCAGTAAAGCTCTTTACAAAGTCATCAGGAGTCATTTCAGAAGGCTAATCTCTGCTGCAACTCTAGACCCTGGGGCTTCAAGCCCAAGTTTGTTATTTCTTTTCTTTTTTTTTTTCTTGTTTTGTTTTGTTTTTTTGAGAGAGGGTTTCACTATGTAGTTGAGATTGACCTGGAACTCACCATGTAGCTCAGGCTGGTCTCGAACTCACAGTGATCCTCCTGTCTCAGCCTTCCGAGTGCTGGGATTACAGGTATGTACCACCATGGCTGGCCCAAATTTGCTATTTCAAGGCCAATTGATACAGAAAATTAATGAAAAAGGAAATCTCAGGAAGAAGTAGGTTGAAATAGTTCTATGCACTGTAGTTCTCAAAGAGGTTATTGTGCCTTAATGTTATGATTTACTCCCAACCTGGAAAGTGTAGGACCCCTGAACACTGAAGCCTATCTTCAGATTTTTTTCTTAGTTGCTACTAAAAGATTTGCTGTTCTACACAGACATTAAATAATTCATTAGATCCAATTTCTCATTATCCTGGTTCCTTGTATGTGCATCACTATATTTATATCTCAAACATAAAAACAAAATACATCCCTAATCTGGGAGGCAGTGTCTCCGTATCACTTACCTATAAAATGAGCAGTCTTATTCCCAAAAAGGAAAAGAATGAATAAAGAATTACAAACTTCTCCAGAGCACATTTTGTAATGTGGCATTTCACGACGCTAAAGTGAATGTAGATATGTGAAAGAGAAACTAGAATGATTGGGGTAGTTACATTTCATATCTTGGTTTAAAAAATCCCCGGCCCATGTCGACAATTTCTTAACCAGCTTGCAAAATTGCAGCTGCTCTCCAATCTTCACAGTCTCCATCCCTCACTTGCATGTAGGTCTGTACTACAGATATGTTGTTCCCAAAGTTCCAGAATGGGCTTTGCTGGGCTGGTTAGGCCACTGTCTTTGAGTTGGTCATCCTCTCCAGGAAGCCAGCAGTGTCTTCTCCAGTGTCATACTTTGGATCTCCCCTGCTTGGAGGACAGAAACTTCTCAGCTTGGACTGTCTTGTGAACAGCAGTTTACAGGCAGCTGCTCTATACTTCTTGGAAATGAGGTTGTACAGGATAGGCTTGATGGATGCACTGAGATAGAAAAGTTGCAGAGCAACAATGTTAAAGTACTGAGAAAAGTACATCATGAGGGTTTCTTCCGTGTTTATGTAAATGATTCTGCCAATGTGGAAAGGCAACCAGCAAACTATAAATGCCAGAACCACAACCACTGCAAAAACAAGACACAGATGCCATTATTAGCCAAAGCACTCATAATCAAATAAAGGTGCCTCCAAGAAATCATCTGCAGTAACAGCAAAATAAATTAGAACTTATACCTAGCAGCTCCCCATGACAAAAAAACAAAAACAAACAAACAGGCAATCCAGTCAGTTAACTGCTTCCATATTTATTTAAACCTGCCATGTGTGAAGCTCATATCTTTGCTCTCAAGGCTGGCTATAAACCAGAAAGGCAACTGCTCCTAACAAGCCGTTTTGGCTGATTTTCTTCCACAAACCCACTTAACAGACATGTTCTTTGCTCTTTGCTAGAAAGAATTCTGCAACAGGTCTACACAATTTTTGATTTTTTGATGTGGGCATGGTTCACTCTAGCCTTCGGGATAACTTAACATTAAATAAAATATTTAGCTTAATGCAGTCTATCCTGTCTCCTCACCCGTACTGGCAATAATCCGCAGCAGCAGCATCTGTTAGAGGCAAATGGATCAAGAGCTACCAGTTACCCATCCTGGATTTCATCACTGCTGTTCACTAGACTTGTTTATATCACCTTCCGAGGTGCCCAGATGTTCCCCCAGAGAGTGGTGCCTCAGTTCGCAAACTTAATTCTTTCCATGAATCTGGTCGCAAACAGAATTAATTGGATGAGAACCGAATCAAATTCAATGTTGATCTTATTGGATTCGGTTCCGTCCAGTTCGGGTTGATAAGAGCATCGTGGAAATAATTAAATTCGTGAACCTAGTCCTGGGAGACGGAGTATGGTTTTCTTTGGAGACCGGATGTAGAGCGGAGAGCCAGTAGCGTTTCCGTGGCCCCGCTGGCTGTGGAGACCTCGGCTGCTGTGTTTGGAAAAGAGAGGCAGCACTTACGCAGGACGCGGACGGGTCTGCCAGTGGCCCTTTTCCCTCCCCAAGGCAGCCGGGCCTTGCAGCAGACCCCGGGTCTTCCACAGCTGCCGCCCGACGAGCCCGTAGAGGATGCCGAGGCACAGGAAGGGTAGGAAAAAGTAAGCAGTGGTGACCCACAGCATGATGCGCAGCGCACCCAGCTGTGCGCGCCTCGGCCGGCACTCGCGGCTGAACAGTGCTGCAGCCTCGGGCCCAGACGGCGGGGACGGCGGCGCTCCAGGTGACAGAGCGAGCTGCGAAGTCCTGTTAAAGTCCGGCAGCTCGTAGGTGCCAGGGTCCTGCTCGACACCCACCAGAAAGAAGAAGGGCCCCGCGGAGAGCAGCGCCACCACCCAGAGCGCAGCGATGAGCGCACGGGTGACGAGGACTCGGGCCCGAAGCGGGCGGCAGATGGCCAAGTAACGCTCCACGCTGAGAGCTGTCAGGTGCAGCAGCGTGGCGTAGGTGCAGCCTTCGCCCAAGTAGAGCGACAGGCGACAGAGCAGCGACCCGAATACCCAGGGCCGCGAGCGCCAGAGGCGGTACAAGTCGAAAGGGAGCCCGAGGAGGATGAGCAGGTCGGACACGACCATGCTGCCCAGGTACAGGTTGGTGGTGGTTCTCATGTCCTGGTAGCGTCCGATGAGCAATACGGTCACGACGTTGCCAGTCACCCCGACGGCGAACAGACCCAGGCACACGGCAGTCACTGGCACCAGCGCCCCCAGGGGGAAGACTGAGCAGCGGCGTTCGTCGCACGGCGGCAGTTCTACCCACGGCGGTTCCCAAGCGCCTTCGGGGCCTTCGCTGTAGTTCCAGGGGCTGCCCATGGGGATTAGGGGCCCAGCAGAGTCGCCGGGCCCCATGGCAGAACGCGGTGGCCCTGGGGACCCAGGGGAGACCTTTCGCGCACCGCGAAGCCCTGCCGTGCCGGCTCGGGAGCGCAGGTCTGCGCTGGGGCAGAAGCTGCTGGGCTCTGGGAGCAGCAACGCGAAGTCTCCGCCCCTGGCCTCTGCTAGCCGGGGTCCGGCTCCTGCGCCTTCTCCCAGTCCCTTTGTATTCCGGGGTGCTTCCCTCGCTACCATCTGGCGCAAACCACCAGGCGGCGACTTGCCCTGCTTGGGTAGCAGTTTCTGAACACCAGAGAAGTTGGTTCCTTGGACCCAGCATGGTGCGGGTATTTTTGTCAGTCAAGTACAAAGGGGGCTTTGAGAGGGATCTTGGGTGCTGGCTGTGTTCTGGAGGTTTGCAAATGCTCTCAGTGACAATCTGGAAGCAGTCCAATCCTAAATAGTAGAAAAGTCTAGATCAGAGTTTAGAGTCCTTCCCAGATCTGGTCTTGGCTCCACAGAGTTGCAGAGTGACCATGGACCAGTGCTGTCCTCAGTGGGCCCACTTTGCAAGTGGTAGTGGAGGTGGTTGACTAAATAATTTCAAGGGTCTCTGAAATCTACAGCTACGAATTTGTTTATTCAGCATAAAGAATGAGACTTAAATGTTTGTGTGTACAGCTGAATACTTACACATGCTGTTTTTATCAGAATGTTTTATAAACCAGGCTATTTGCTAACACCTGAAAGAATGATAATTTAGGAAAAGGATGAAAATCAGTGTCCGGGTCAGTCCTTATGGTCTTGATGACAATGGCTGACATGCAGCACTTAGCATGTAGTTGGCTCTGTGCTTTCCTTTTACTCCTATGCCCTGAGGAGCTCCTTTCCTGTGGACAAAGTGGGTCTTCCTGTAGAGCAAGCAGGCTGTTAAGAGGCAGCCTGGGATGTAGAAGGTGGGTGCTCTAATCCCAAAGCCTGCAGGCCTGATGTCTCACCAGTGTCCAGTTCCACCATCTCAGTCTGTCTTTGCCTCCATCACCCTCATCCAAGATTTCCATTTTGCTCTTCTGCCTGTATCTCTGGGTGAATAAACCCACATCTAACGATTTTTTTTTCATCCACCTTTTTGTGGCTTAAATTTTCAGCCTTCCCGCCTAGCGTGGTGGCGCATGCCTGTAATCCTAGCACTTGGGAGTCTGGGTTACATAGTGAGACCCTATCTCAAAAAAAAAAAAAAAAGAAAACCAAAAAACAATTTATTTTCAGCTTTTCCCTCCAAGTTCCTTTCTTCCTTCTTTTGAACCTGAAACCTACCTTCACACGAGGAGCATGCTTCCATCCAGTTCTGTGTCACCTGCAGGAACCACGGGCTTGGTGGGGGCTCTCTGTCACCGCCCCCCCTTACTGCTATTTTTGGGTGTCCTAAAGCCTAGCTTCATTGGACCACAGTCTCCAGGTCCTCCCACTCACCCTTGTTCCCCGAGGACTAGGTGCCTCACTGTCTCTCACCGGTACACACCACTAACATGCATCTTGCTTTGGCGTCTTGGGTTGTTGGCCTCCTTTCTATCAAGGATCATGCCCCGGATCCCATCTGTAAGCCACTCTGGTGGATGCAGCTTATTCCTTACTATCAAGTGGGAGCGCTCCATGTTGACTGAAGTCATCCCTGCTTCTGACCCCATCCCCACTCTTTTGAGCTCCCTCTTACTTGTGCCTTCCCTCCTGTCCTATAATCCTTCACCCATGGAGTCCTCCAGTCAGTCACTCCTACCTTTTGTCTGTCCCTCGCCTGCCTCATGTCTGCACTTCCTTTCATGTGCCAGCCTAAACTCATGAGCTGTCATGATCACCCCCACTATTGTCGATTCTGGCTCTCTGAGGAGGGCACTGGCATAACCTGGCTAAGTGGAATTCTCTGCCCACTCCATGCGGGCTTCTACTTAGCTGTTGACTTGTTCCACTGGAGCCTAGTGATTCCTGCCAGCCAAATACCCTACTTCCCCCCACCCCACCCCTGCTTCTGTCGTGTGCCCTCCTCTCTCCTTAAATAACAGCAGTTCCTTCCCTGCCTCCCTCTAGCCTGGGGACAGTGTGTCTGTTTTTCTGGAAGAAAAAAAAAAAATGAAAAAGAAGCAACCAGAAGGAAATTTCTAAACTTCCTACTACCATACACACCCTTCCTCACTTTCCCTCCTGGACAGATGAAAGCATAGGTGGTATTTGTATCTGGAGTCAGCTCAGCCGCTGAGGCACTCTGTTTGCCTCAGAAGGAATTACTCTATAAACTCCCTCTCTCCTATATCATCAGCATTTCCTTTGTTCTGGATCATTTCCATGTTTTCAGCAAAGCTCCTTAAAAGAGTTTCACTGTATTCACCATAGAGTATCTATTGTCTCCACTTTTTCTCTTTTGTTTTCTCCTTCCCCTAGCAAGAGAAAAATGCAATTTCTTCATTTATAGTTGCTGAGATTTTCTCTAAGCTCTTGGCTGTTAGGCAGCAAGAGAAAATGACCTAGCCTGAGTAAAGCACAGTCCAGTTGATCAGTGTCACAGACCCGCTAAGCAGTGTTCAGTTTTCTCATGGAGTCTTTCCCTTAGGAGACCCAAGTAGGTGGGAATAGGAGCCCAGGTACTTTAATGTCTTTGTGCAGCCAGAATAGGGACAAGTACCTAAGTCTGTGCCTGGACTGCCAGTTGTTAATTTCAGTTCCACGTTCCTTTCCTGCCCAGTCACAGTTGCTCTGCTATCTTCTATGGCAAAGATCTATGATTTGTGAATGTGTGGTCCTTTCCTTTGATTCAAGGAAATTCTTGGCTTGCATAGGTTGTAGATCGCTGAATCTGTTGCATTTCTTCCATTGTGCTCGGTGGCTTGATGGGCTACTCCAGGCTCTGCCTAGTGCCTCTGCCCTGCCCTGGAGCATGTTTAAGGTCTCTAGTCAGCACCCCTGCCAGCAGAATCCTGTCCCCTGCATATTCTGTGTCACACCCGTATCATTCAGATATTCCCTTTCTCTGTTATATTTTCTCTTCACAGCTTATTACCAACGCACTATTTAATTTTCTGAGCTATTTTATTATCTGTCTCTCTTTATGTCCCAATATCATGTGTGCCAGAAGGCAGGGCTTTTTAATATATTGTGTTCATTGCTCTTTCCTGGGTGCCTGAATTAGTACCTGGCACAAAATGAGAATTTGATATTTATCTCTGGGAATGAATAAGCCTCTGCAGAAGGGACCTTTATTTTCTTCATAATTTCCAGTATGGAGAGCAGTGTTCTGATTGCATTGGGTACACAATAAGAGTTTGCTGATAATCTAGTTCAACACAAAGCACTGTGCAGAGATGGATACACAGAAGGTTTTTGGGATACCACAGTGTCAGTGAGGTTCAAACAAGACTTGGCCCTTACAGTGTAGCTGAGCCTTATTATTAATGGCTTGTCATCTCACGTTTCAGAAAGAAATGGGGCAAGGCATCTAAAAACTAACCAAATCTGTTCTCTACTTTTTGACTTCTCTAGGTTTTCCACCAGCTTTCTGACTTCACAGTTCATCTGATGAGAGGAGTTTGCAGTGAACCTGTAATAGTGTGTACCTCTCATGTGGTGATTGTATGGGGGCAGGAGTGAGTCCAGGTCTGGCTTGGATATGGCCCTGTCACTGGAAGAGGTTGGTGTCATTTAATAGTCATTTGGCCCCTGGTTTAGAGGCCTCACAAATTGGCCCTTGGCAGGCTGGGAATGTCCTGGATTAAAATGTCTTGAACCTAATACTTGCTGTGTGTAAGCTGTTCTTTATTTCACCTCATTTAATCTTTTAACTGTTATGGGGTGGGATCCTCTTGGTATCTCCATATTATAGACAAGAGTATCAAAGCTTAGAGAAGTTATCCAGTTATCCTAGGTCACTGGTGTAGCCAGTAATTATGGGCAATGCTGTCCAGTCCAGTTCCAGGGTGCACAGGTGTAACCACTGTGCAGTGTGGCCTTTTCCTGTGTGGACCACAGCACTATTAGCTGTACGGATGCTAAGTATGACATGAACTCTGCCAGAAAAGCATCTTCCAGAAATTTTGTGGGCAAATGGGAGGACAAGGAAAGCTTTGAGTTGCTTCAGGATATGTCCCTCATGTTGTAGGTGCAGTTTACCTGTTGAAATTTATAAAAACTGTAGGTTTTATTTGCTTTTCTCACAGAAAGGCCAATATATAATGCAGCGATTGAAAAGTGGGTACCTACAGCTACTGACACACATTTTTTTCCCTCAGTAATTCAATATTTTTTTCATCTAAAAAAGTATGTTAAAGGGTTGGGGATTTAGCTTAGTGGTTCCGCCGCTTGCCTTGCAAGTGCAAGGTCCTGAGTTCAATTCCCAATTAAAAAAAATAAAAGTTTGTGTAAGTATATAGCTCTCATTTACAAGGATATGTGAATGACATATAAGATGGAGGAGACCTCTTATTATTATTTCTTTTTATCAGTCTTTTAGTGTGCTGTTCTAGCTCTCTACTGTAGTTGCTTAAAGTGAACTTCACACATTTATATTTTTCCAATTGTTTGCTATATATAAAAGAAACTCACTGTAAAATGCTTGAAGGAAAAAAAGAAACAAAAGAAATTCTGAACTTCCCAGAAATGTACAACATTTACATCTAAAAATGGTTCTGAAATATACATATACAAGTGTGCTGGAAAATCTCACCCTTTTCCTCTCCCTGCTATCCCTTCTTAGTTCAAACCATGGTAGAAGTACTAATTTCTGAAGAATTTCCAATTAAAAAAAAAAAGTAACTTCTCACTCTGTTGCAAATCCAGGGCTTGTACATTTCAGATTCAGTAAAATCTCACAATTAAGAAATGCATGTTTAAGGGAAATATTATGTAGACTTTTCCACACAGAAGAACATAAGATTTTAAAAAATCTGTTGCCACTCATTTATTTTTGCCCAAAAATGTGTACGTATGTACTAGCTTTTCTTTCTTTCTTTCTT